AAAGATGTGATGCTGGGGCAGAATATTTTTTGTTGTTGTTTGGTGTATTGTACTGTACAGTACATTAAGGAATAAAAAAATGTGCAAATGTATACACGTGTTCACTATGTGAAAAGTTCCTTGAGGGGGAGAACCACAAGCAACATAACTTATTGCTGGTTTTTGTTTTTTGTAGTATTGTTTTGAATTTATCTCACTAGTGTGTAAGACTATGTTGTAGTGTGTGTGTTTTTGAGGGCTTGTGTGTGATGTCTGAGGGAAAAGTTTGGTTTTTCAGCAAGAGTGAATGGTTTTGAGTGTAGAGCTTCATTTTGACCTGAAAATAGGATGTTTGGGGAATTGGGTGAGACGTTATGGATTTGTGTTTACTGTTTTGAGAATATGAGGCATAGTTTCAAGAAATGTGTTTAAGCAATCAAGAAAAACTGTAAATAAAGTAAAAGAGGTTACATTTAATTTTACATGGTATATATCCAGCTAAAAGTGTGTTAGATTTTGTTTAGATATTGATTATTCTTGTGATTTTTGGTCAATAAATAAATAAATAAAATAAATATATTCTATGATCCATCTGTTATGTAATTATGTATACAAAGTGGATATGGAAAATTTCATTAGAAGGAAAACAAATATTATATTCAAGTTAAATAATTTTGATATATGTATGTATTATTCCAGTGAAAGTAATAATAATAATTTTACTTTATTTGTACAGCTTTTTATTATTTTGGGGAAATTTCACATACATAAGAAGAAATGGTCAGGATCCAGGCCAAATTTCATTCATTTTCTTCAAGAGACTAAGGACTACTGCACCAGTTTGGAGAACATTGTTAATAAAAAAGCAAAGAAGACTTATAATATTTTTCACGAATATAGAGTTTTTGATTAATGAATCAATGGTTTGTACACTCTGGCATGTTTTTGTAAAATATTGTATATTTTGTTCTGGTTAATAAAAAACAAACAAACAAACAAACAAATGTTTCGATTACGACAGCCTGCTAACGATTCACTGTCCATGGTACTAAAGTCATCATAGAACATGACATCATAGAGGACGATTATTTGGACAAACTCTTAAATACATTTTAAATAGAAGTTAAATAATTTTGATAAATGTATTATTCCAATGAAAGTAATACTAATAATTTTACTTTTCTTATTCAAATTTTTATTATTTTGGGAAATTACATACATAAAAAGAAACAATCAGAACATAATGTAAGCCAAATTTTATTCATTTTCTATAGGAGACTAGGGACCTACTGCACCAGTTTGGAGAACATTGTCCGAAAAATTTTTGTAACATTTTTCATGAATATACCGTTTTTGATAGGGATGCACCAATACCACTTTTTCCAGTACTCGCCCGATACCGATACTTTTGCATCCCTAGTTTTTGATTAACGAATCAATACACCCTGTCATGTTTTTATGTATTAATCTGTACATTTTGTTCTGGTTAATAAAAAAGAAAAGAAAAGAAATTTAGAGGGCGGGGCTTGTTTTAGCACACAGTAGGGATGGGCGATACCCCTTATTTTGTTTTCGATACGATGCCGATATTTTTCAAGGCAGTATCGTCGATATCGATACCGATTCTATACTTCTGCACTAAACTTTTAAATTATGAAATGTATTAAATTATTAAATTACTAAGAGTAAAATGGGTAATGAAAACCACTTAACTTTATGTTTAAAACGCATTTTAACCCGTTTAATCCAAAATCTTTCCCAGACATGAAAATATCCAAATGATGCATCATTAGGAACCCTTTGAAATAATCAGATTTTTTTTTTTTT